AAATTTTTTTTTTATAAAATAAAATTAAATACTGCTATAATATAATCTTTATTTTCAAATATTATCAAAAAAAATTTATTTAAATATTTTAAAAATTAAAAAATATAGATCATAAGTATATTTATAATAATTTTCAGGTAAATTTGTCTTTAAGAGATAAAAGAAGAAATAGTTGGTTATATAAAAGAACTAAGAATAAGAGGGTATCTATAAATAATATTATGCTAGAAGAAGATTTTATACTATATAACAGATTTTTTAATATATTAAGAGAGGTTAAAAAATAATAATACAATTATTATATAGGGTTTCAAAATTAAGTATATAATATTGATCATGCATTAATTTATATCACAAAATTTGTTCAATTAGGCAATTGATTGGCTAACAGTGCTGCGCAGTAGTACATATCAGCTAATCATTTATATAATTAGACAAATTTTATAATATTTATCAATACATGACTCAATATTTGTATTATTCAGCAATTCATGATCATGATTCTCAAATCGTGATTTGCTAACTGAGTTTTAATTCGAATAAATATAATTACAACATAACACCCCAATAAATAACAAAAAAGAAATAAATCTATAATTATAAGAGTTTGCCAGATAACTTTTAAATATAATACACCTGATATTGATATCAAAATCAGTTAAGTAATCACTTTTTAAATTTAAATTTGTATACAAAAATACTAAAATTATGATAAAATATTTATATATATATATATATTTATCTAACTTATTAGAATTTATTTTAATTATTGCTACAAATTCTAAGTCAAATTACATTAAATTTGAATATACAAAATGTATTTATATCCAAATTTAAATTTAATGCTACTAGTAAAAGATATTTTTTTATGTCCATTCCAGGTTTTTAAAAATTTTTTGCTCGTTTAAATCTTTAATGCTATTTACTATTTTTTGAATAGATTTAAAGTTTGGTTCAATACTTTGAAATCAATTTTTTTGTTTGGAAGACTTTTAGACTTTTCAAGACAATCAAGTACCCAAAATATAAATTAATATATTTATTTAAATACGAAAATATAATGTTAATCCAATTTTTTTATACCTCATGTAGAGTTTTCTGTACTTCTTAAATTTTCAATACAGATTCATTATCTTCAGTACTTGATTCCTCATTATCTATATTTTGATTTTTTGAATTTACTAGTTCGATCGTTAAATTGACTTGTGTATAATCAATTAAAGTGATATTTGGATATTTTCCTATTAAGTTTCTTTACTTCTGTAATAAATGAATATTGAGAATTTTGTTGTATCTAATTAATATAATGCTAGATTTAAAAATTTTTAATCATAATATATTGACAATCTTCCAGAAATGATGTGTCTATCTTCTCAAGAGGATTAACAAGATATTTGTGTAAAAAGAATTTGTTTTTAAAAAAAATAAAAACAAGATTATATCCAATTGCTACATGTAGCTTTATTCTACTTAGTTTGAAGTCTTTATGCAACAATAATAATATTTGTTTATATACTGTACTAGCAATAATTTTTCGATATAGATATAAAAATATGATTAATATATGACTGGTTAAATTGTACAAGTAATCCTTTTAGTATACCATATACATATTGCTTTCTTCTTCAATATCCAGAAGTTTTTCATATATTATATATGTATTTAAGCTCTTCAGATTTATGGCATTTTTTTTTGCTTGCAAATATCATTTAAAATTCGATCCTCATCTTTCTGTTTTTTTGTTTTTATTTACACAACTTGTATACTCAAAACATGATTTATCATTAATAGAGTTTCAGAATTAACTTATTTTAAAAATAAGTGGAAGTTTAAACAGTCCTATTTCTTGTTTTAAATTCTGAATCAAAAATTAAATAGGCATAGCCAATGGATGATAAAATTAGTTCTTTCGAAATACATTTACTAGTAAGCAGTTATGTAAATAAGTATATAAAAAAAATAGAATTTATATGTCACTTGTTTTGAAATAAATATATTTCTTATTTTATCTAAAATCAGATACTGAATCATTAATTTCGAAACCCCCAATTTTGAATTTTGAAGTAAGAAACTAATAAGATTATAAAATTTATATTTATAAACTTTAAAAAAAATAAAATAAAAATAAAAATAAAAAAATAAAATAAAATAAAATAAAATAAAATAACAATCGCTCAATTGAAATAAATATATTGCTTAATTTCTTGGTTAACTTTGTTCATTTGATTTAGTCTCTAAGTGTATAAATTATTTATTGTCCTAAATATTTATATGAGCTGTTCACTTCTCATTTAGCACCTTATTCACATTAGTTTGTATAATTATCATATGTCAAGAACATTTTTAAATTATCATTATGCAGATTTGCATGACCGGATCCATATAGTATAGAGAGTAAAATACCTTATTTTTAAAATCTGTACTGAATTTTGACCTATATATTGTTAAGGTTGGCATTAAAAAATTATAGCGAATTGGCAATAATATAGTTTTTAAAGAAGTACATACTACTTTTCACAGTAGAAAAAGAATGTATGCAGTAAAATCAAATAGCTATTTAACGTTAATCAGTTTTTATAGATAAATGCAAATATACTATGTACTGATCGTGAAAACTTGTATATCTCAAAAGAATTTTTTTTTTTATTGCTATGCAGGTTTTAAATATTATTTTGCATCACCAATCCTGAAAAGTACTATTTTAAAAATAATTACTTATAATCAGCAAATTAGAAAATTGTGTCATAGCAAATTCTATATACACCAAGAGTCTGGTATCTTAAAATTCAGTAATTAGTATACTAAAAGTCTGGTAATATAATTAATCTAGTCTTATACAAAAATATGAAAAAATAAAATTTATACAGTATAAAAAAAAGTAAACCTCTTAATTCGTTAGGCCTATGTTTCCAAATAAAAGAGATTGTATTAAAAATAAATATTAACTTTATATCTAACTATCTACTCTTAAAATAACAAGAGCAATATAATACTATGAGTAAAAAAACTATGCATCTAGAAGCATATATTTCATTGCTAAAAGTTTATCAAGAAGTGAATCTAACAAAAAAAAAGATATTGCTATTCGAGAAGCACAAGATCTGTGGAATGAGTTAAAAGGTAATAAAGATCTGCTAGAAAAAAAATTGAGTTACTAAAACTTGAGAGTGAAGAAAAAAAAATAGAAAGGTGACTCTTTTTTATTAAAGTCACCCGTCAAAGCCAAGAACGTAATACACTAAAGCACATGAAAGAACAAACACAAGCTTTTCTACTACTATTGCTAAAGATACCACTGAATATATTACTGAAAATATTACTGATAATACAATTGATCACATGTCTAAAAGGTGAGAAATGCTAGCTCAAACCAAGTTAAAAGAAGAACTCATTTGGTTAAATCAAGAATTGTCACAACTTCATGATCTAGAAGATAGAGGTATGATTAAGAATGTTTTTATATGTTAAAAAAAGGTGATGATTATGATATTAAATATATTTAAGCAGGTCTACTACATAATTGATTGTAGAGCAATTTTGTTAAATCAATTAATTGATTAGTAGCACAGCCACAATTAATTAATTAACAATTTTTACTGCAATTCACAAAATGATAAAATATGTAATAGGCGTTCGCATAAATATATTTATTTCCAGTTCCTATTTATATTTCTTTACTATTTTTTTATAGTTATTGTCCAGATCTAATTCTTGGTTATTGTCCACAATAGTGATCTTGGCCGATAGTGAAAAAATCGACTAAAAACAATTATTGGCTTAGCCAGTTGATTTTTTTAAATTTAGTTGATCAATTTTACAGTATTACTAGAATTATAGCATTCAAGGTAGAAAATGAATAAACCTAACATATGTGCAAGGTTGAGCCAAAATTTTTAGTAAAATCTGAATTAATTGTAATTTTAAAATCGGCTAAACTGGCTAAGCTAGTAAAATTTATCAGCTTAGTCATAGCTGAAAATTTTTGATCGACCAAAATCACTAATTCACAAAGTAGACAATAATATATACTTATCTTATATCTAAACTTTCTACTCAATTTGAAGTAAAAGTTTAGATCACTAAATACTGTGGCAGTAGTACACTCAAACTTCTAGAGACTGCCCTGGTGTTATCTTATAAATCAGTAAAAAATTTTTAAATCTATTTTTTTTTTTTTTTTTTTTTTTTACTATTCCTAGACATGATAACAGATGCTGATAGTGATAAAAAAAAGATATTCAAAATAAAATTTTAGCATCATTAAAAGCTCTATCAAAACTTAAAAATCAACAGAATATTCAGCAAAATTATAGAAAACAGAAAAGGCAAAAACTCTAGCAAGTTGAAGATTAATTGAAGGCAGCAAGTGTTAATATGCAACTCATTAAGCCAGTTGGCTACCACGTTTAGAAAAATCATAGCCCGGTTTGTTAGAAACTATTTTACGTCTTGTTTCTTCAGATGGACAGGCAGATGAACGAAGATGTTCAGAAATAATATGGTCTGTCAAGACTTTGAATCAACTTCAGGCTGCATTAAAACAAATGAATTACAAGATATTATGTTTGGCTATATATCTTAGACTCTTCTCAAAACAGTTTAATACCAAAGAAGGAAAGCGGCATGTCAAAACTATACTTGTTAAACTTTTAAAATCACAGAATACTACAAGAAAAAAACATAAGGATACACATTTCTGTGCTTCTCTAGTTAAAAACATTAAAGAAATAGTATCATTATTAAGGTCTCAAAGTATTTTAACTATCTCCCAAGATGACAAGACAAGGATACCTCTTGGTTTGGCTGTAGCAAACAAGCAAGCACTAATTTTAATAAAAGTAAAATACTGAGTGGAGCTTCCAGACTATGATTAGGTTATCGCTAAAAAACACAAGTTAATTCCATCCGTCTATACAATATTAGAAATACAAAGTGGTAAGCAAAAGGATGATAAAGATAAAATACTAATATGGGTCCATTCAAAAATAATTTAAAAAATATATAAATTGAAATTTCATATATGGATTGCTTACAGTATATCAATGGATGAGTAATTTTTATATGTATTATTACTTACTATTATTTCTTATTACTTAATATTACATCAAATATTTTATGCATATAGTAAGTAATAAAAACTAGCAAAGCTACCAAATAATTGATTGTAAGAGCAATTAATTGCAATTATTTGACCTCAATTAATTGATTGGTAGTATAGCTACAATTGGTCAATTAATTAGATGTCAAAATTATAGTTAAAAAATAAACTTATTATAATTAATATGTAAAATTTGCAATTAAATTGCAATTATTTTACAATTAATTGTTTTGCAATTATTTATCTGTAACAATTTAACTGAATGTAATTATGTAATAATTTAATTGCAATTGAATTTTTGGTACCCCTGAAAACTGGTGCTAAAAAAGTAATCTTATTTAAACTTCATAAGTTATGCCTCTTGTGAATCATGATTAATAATATGTAATTATTTGCAAATAAGCAATAATTAATAAAAATATTGATATATAAGAATAGGTATAGTTAAAAAATTCCTATTGCTTGTATAACATAAAAATTTGCTATGTTGAATAGTATGATTCAAATACTACATAATTTTGCAAACATGCATGTTTGTGAAATCATATAATAATATTTAATAGTAGTTTGAGTGTCATTTGAATCATGCCATTCAGCATAGCAAATTTTAACTTTACCAGTGTATTGTATTGCCCATCTCTACTTTTATCGGTTCAATCATCGACAGTTATCTAACTGAGTTTATTTAACTGATCCTGTATTATATAGGGATAGGGTTAGCATTTGATTAGTTGTAAGTATATATTTTGGTAAATTGCAACTTGGTGTACTAGCTAAATGATTGTTGATAAAGTATAGTAGATCCTGTATTTATATTATTGTATATATAGTATATTAATGAACATAATATTTTTTTATAGATAAGTATGAGAATGCTGAAGCGATAATATACTCAGATCCAATATTCATAAGAATCTGCAATAGCAAACATGATACCAGTACCGTTTATACCTATTTTGATGACCTAATATCTGATGAGAGATTGTATAATTTTACTACCACAAAAGATGGTCAGTTGAAACCCATTGTTTTAATGATAAGTGATAGTGGTTCTGATGAGAATTCACGCTATAAGAAGACAATCCAAGTGATGATTGAGTACTTTATAAAATATGATCTTGATACAATCATAGTAGTATATTTCACACTGTATTAAAGTGCGTCTAATCCTGTTGAGAGGCAAATGGAGCCTTTGAGTTACGATTTAGCAAAGATAATACTTCCTTATGATATTTTTGGGTCACATTTAGATAAGCAACTAAAAATAGCTGATGAAAAACTAGAAAAACGTAATTTTAAAGCGGCAGGAGAAATTTTAGCTTTTGTGTTAGAAAATATTACTATCAATGGTTATCCAATTTTAGTTGAATATGTAGATCCTGAAAAATCTTATCAATTAAGATTGGATGAAAAATCTGCTACTTGGATAGAAAGATATACTATAACTTGTCGCTATATTATTCAGATTATCAAATATAATAATACAAGTTGTTGTAGACCTTTCTGCAGTAGGATCCTTCAACTTCTTCCTAATTAGTTTTTCCTCTCCAATTTTGGTTTAGCAAAAGTCACATGGTATTTGTGTGGCAAGCATAACTGCATTTGACAATACAACACATTTTAGTAACTTTCTGCTATCTATATTGATAGAAGAAAAGCTTATTCCTCTAGAGATGAATCTTCAGTATTTTTCTTTTGATTAGTATAGTTCCACTATTAACAAATCTATTAATGAATACCTTTGCTCTTTTTGTCATCAATACTTTGGTTTAAAAAAATCTTTAAAATACTATATTCAAAAATGTTCATATAAATCATCTAATTCACTTACGGATAATCAAGATTTTCAAAACACAGATCACTTAGTATACCCTATTGTAGTCATTTACAACTACCAGTACAGTAAATTTTTAGTTAGCAATAAAAAAGGTGAAGCAATATAGATAGAAGAGGATACAATACCTGAGAATATACCAGAATCATTATTTCAGAAAGTAAAATATATTCACACAAATCAGAATCATCAAGCATACCTTATTGACTAGAAGACTTGGAAACCCAAGTGGATAAATGATGAATAAAGTTTTATATCTATGATTTTTTTTTTATTATTCTACTTTTTTTTCTTTTATTTTATTATCTAATTTTTTTTTTTTTGTTTTATAATACCATTAATAATGAAATGTATAAAGACAAAAAATATTTTAATAATTCATGATAAAATTGCAAAGATCATTGTTAAATTGCAGTTTTTAGAATTTTACACTTTTCGTTAAAATTAATTAAAATCATTTAATTGATTTTTTTAACTTTGGTAATCTAAAATTTGATCATAATTAAGTGATAAATATACAGTAGCTAATAGATTTTACAGATACAGAAGTGCAAGGCTTTGATTGTTAGGATCTGTAGCTGCTATAAATAGTGCAAGGACCTTATAGATAATGATTAAAGCTTGGTGGCTGCAATAGGCTGTACAAGGACCTCATATTTTGATAACTAGGTTCCTTAGCTGCATTAGGTAGTATAAGGATCTATATATAAAACTCTTATATTATTATATATTGCTATATAATGATTCTTATTATAATCTATATGATTCCTTCTTGCCATAGTTGTATATTAGATGAAAATTGATATTTTGAATATTTAAAATGTATTAACTTATTATTCAAGTATAACATTACCAGAAATTTTTGCTAATTATTTATTTAAAGTCAAAAAATAAAGCTGCTTTATGATTCTATTAATATGTGGATTCTGTGCATTCATCTTATAGAATACTGAAAATTAATCAGATGAAAAAAGTTATTTTAAACATATAAAATGCAACTTAATTAGAACTTAGCGAAAAATCAAATATGATTACTTTGACAAACTAGTTTTAATCAAAAAAAGTATAGTATTTATGTGATACCTTTAAAACTTTATATTTTTTTTATAATCAAGATTATATTCGATTAATGATTTAATTAAAGTATGTATAATTTTATCAGACCATTTTTTCTGTATATATATATACAGTGTAATAGTTTCATATATGGTAAACTAGATCAAATTAACTTTGATACTGCAAGTAGTTTGAGTTGTATACAGATGATTTACAACCAAAATTTCCTCGTAATTTTGGAAAAGGAAATTTTATCTATCATTTTTGTAATATATATATTGAGATAGCTTCTATTTCGATCGCTATTGCACTTTGTCAACAAATGCATCAGCATAATCACTACATAATCACTTTTTAAATTTCAATCTGTACACAAAAATTGAGAGAGATTATGAAGAAATAACATAAGTTTTTTTTTATATATTTATTCAACTTATTAGAATTTATTTATATAATTATTACTACAAATTCTAAGTCAAATTACAACCAATTCGAATGTATAAAATGTATTTATACCCAAATTAATATACGTATAAAGCTTTAAATTTAATATTATTAGTAAGAAGCGAAAAATAAATTTATATTTTATATATATTTAGAAGGGATATCAGGTCTTATGCAAATTAGATAATGTTATTTATAAACAACTATTTCTAGAGGGGGTTATAAGATCTTATGAGGGTGTAAATAATGTTATTTATGGATACCCTTAAGTAACAGAATAAGAAGAGTATTAAAAAAAAAAGAAAAACAAAATGCTGCATTAAAGTCAAAACTAGAATTAGATTAGAGCAAGAGATTTCAAGAACAAAAAAAAAGCCAACAAAGATAGTACAACAAAACAGTCCTAAAGTCTTTAATATATTAATTTAAAAAATCTGTCAAAACTACTATAGTAAACTAGCAAAAGATAAGAAAAAAAGGCAAAAAAGATAAAAAAAAGATACAAGCTCGGTAAAAAAGAAAACAAGCTGTTAAAATAAAGTTGAAGTTGAATCTAGATTAGAGCAAGAAACTTTATAAACAAAGAACAACTCAACAAAAGCAGTATAACAAAATAGCATTAAGAACTTTAGTAATACAGTTTAAAGTATTTGTTGAATTCGCCACAGCAAGCTATGAAAAAAAAAGAAAAACTAGAAAAAAAAGAAAAGAGAAGCAAAAGACAAGATATTTCAAATTTTATAAAAGTGAAAATGCTAAACAAGATTCAAGAAGAAACAGAACCAAATCATATTAACAACTCTAGTAGAATAGCTAATATAAGTAATATATTAAACAAGTATCAAAAAACCTTCATTTAACTTACTTTCTTCTTGACTTTTTTTTTTATTTTGTCGAAGCTTCAATGAGAATGACTATAAGTAAAAGTTGAGAATTAGACTATAAAAGGGTCAAATAGTTTGAATTCTATGACAGTTTAATGATAATAAATAGGAAAAACATTTAATCCTGATCTTTTTCTTGCCTGTAATTTTTATTATAAATAAAAAGCCAAATTTCTTTTGTCTAGACAGTAATTGAACCAGTATATATATAATTCACTCTAAAATACAATAAAACTGTCAATAGAAACTCTCTAATAAATCTAAATCTCAATATTTATTAAAAACTATACCAATTTACTTATCTTAACAATATTTAATAGTTGCTTTAGACCCATGCCAAATTAATATCCATCTCATATCGCTATTAAGTATTGTTAATTAACATTTTCTCTTTTTACAAGTAACCAACTATCGTTTTTTCTTTTATCAGTTAGTGGTGTGTTTAGTTTATTTTGCCGCTAACATTTTTGGTAGTGACTATAAGATCTGATAAATTAGATTATTCCTGACTGTGAGATAGAATGTCCTCGTTCTGAAGCTCATAACTGAGAGATCAAGCACTTGTTGGAGACCCCAAGCAGCTAAACTATGATTTGATGATCCAAATATAAAGAACAAATTAAGTATTACAATGACCACCCCAATGTTTTTTTTAAAATTATTTTTTTTCTTGAATTAAGTTTTTAGCATTAGAGCTTTTGTTAAAAATCGATAAACTGAGTCTGTTAATATTTCTCTTGTCTTTCTTTTTTTTTCTTTCTATTGTTATACGTCACTATATAGTATCTTATTGTCAAATTTCAAGTTAGTAAAATTGAACAAGCACTCAACAAAAAAAAAAATATACAAAACGTTCCAAGAAGCTACCAAAAAAAGGTCTTAGTATACATATTACATTGTAAAAGAATACACCGTATCTGAATATTCAGCTATGAGAAGACTAGATGAAAAGTATACTATGATTCTTAGATTACTTACATCGGAACAACTCAAGTTGGTTCAAGAAATAATAAATGAAAGCTACAAATTCCTGAGGCCTGAAGCTTACAATGAAATTTGTAGAAAAAATATTAAAGAATAAAAATAAAAAAGAAGATGTTCTACTAGCTTCAACCACAAGAAGAATAAGCCTGCCTCCAGTACCCCTGTGTTTGCTACCCAAAAGTCTTTTCTGAGAAGTCTTGCTGAAAAAGACCTGCTGTGGCAGAAGATGCAGAACTTGGTTTTGAAGAAAAAAATGTTGATCAAGAGCTCTTCTGAAAGTTTGCTGCTAAATATAATAGCATTATACAAAGATTGGCCTCAAAAAAAAAATCAGAAATTGAAAAAGAATCTCTGAAACCAAACTCAAAGCCTGCAATAATAAATGATAAAATAAAAGCCCCGAGGCATTGCTGCCAAATTGGAGTTAAGGTCGAAAAGGATAAAGGGTGATATTTGAAACCTGCTAAAAGTGAAAAACTGGGTAGAATTGAAGTTGAAAAAGATGAAAATAATAGAATTAGAATTGAAAAGAGCCTATCCAAGACACCTGCCTATTATCAAAAATTAGCAGAAATGGGTCATAATAACGGAAATGATAATGACCAAGACCCAAATATCCTTAATAACGTCTCTGTAATGAATTGAAGCTATATAAAAATCTTTGTCACAACTGCAAAAGTCCTGCAGTGCATCTCCTTAATGCTAGAGATTGTTCTGTTAATAAAACTAATCTTGGACCTTGCTACCAAAACAAAATTAGTATCAAAAAGGATAATCAGGATGTATTCATTTATTACCAAATGTTTGCAGATATGGGTGATGCTAATAGAATACACTTGATCAAACCCAGCTATGAGAAAGAAATTGGAACTAAAAAGATTGAAATAGATGCTATTAGTAAGTCAGAACCAAATGAATGGAACCTGAAGAAGAAAAAAGAAATACGAACCTTACTCATAAAGTTTGAAGACATCAATGATAATAAAACTGACAACAAAAGTGATCGCGAGATGTTGGTTGGTGATGACAGTAGCTAGTGTTCCTATGAACTGAACTGAACTGAACTTTTGGCCAAGTTCAAGTTCAGTTCAAAATTGAACTGAACTTGAAC